ACGTGCATGGGCGGATCTAGAGAATAGAGTTATTGGGGCACCGTTCTTACTAAGGATATTTTTAGTGAGGTTGTTTCAGTCTCAAATCAGAATAGATCAGATCAGGCTTTGACAATTGTAAAGTACGCATAGAACAAACATCCACTCAACCAAACTAGTTTAGACCTGATCAGATTAGATCAGACAATATTTCGAAAATTGTAAAATGCACATAGAACAGACATCCATGAGACTAAACCGGTTCATATATAAGATTGAAACAACAATATATACATTTATTTAAAAAGATGCAATTTATTTATAACATTATTCAAATACTAAATCTAGTGCATTTATCACAACTTCTCTCTATGAGATTTAATTTTTTGAAAAGGACCCATCATCGCAATTTCGATTGTAACTACATCAAGTAAACGTTTCTTGCGTTACAAATAAGACAATCATTTGGAAATCGATCACCAATACATTGTGTAAACTTGACTTGAAAAAATTATTCATTGCAAAATACTTTTCAACCAATGTGATTTTTGAAAAAAATAGTTAACTATAAAGACAAAATATACAAATATACTATAATAAAAATATGAAAATTAATTATTAACTAAGAAGGAAGTTCATTAGTTTATATATTCATACTAAATATTTGATAGTCTATTTACTTGATATCCAACACGACAGCCTTTTTAAAACATAGGCTATGTTTGGCACGCATAAACATCTCTCTTGTAGCTTTTGTATTGTTCAAAAAGTCTTAAAAGGTTTCTAGTTTTATGTTTGGCATGACAATTTTAAGAGTTTTTCAAAAATTAAAAGATCTTTTTTGAGATGCTACAGGGAGTATGTAGCATCTGAAAAAAGCCCGTGACTTTTAGTACTACGTATTAATTAGTCCTAACAGCTTGTATACCAAACCGAACTAAATCAAACAGTTAGCTTTTTACCAAACAGCTACCATCTTTTCTCTTTAAAATCTTTTCAGTCACTAAAAGCTTACAAAAATATCTTTTCACCTAGTTGTGCCAAACATACTCATACTCTACAAACTAGGTTTACGAATATCCCTAAATAAATCAATAAAAAAGTCCCAAAATCATGGATAGATTATATGCATGCTTGCTTTTCCGCTGCTTTGCATTTCAAAAATATTTTGAAGTATTCAATGGGGGCATTGCTATATTTCTATTGCGGGTACCCATCATTAATTGATTAAAAGTACAGCAAAATCTATTATCTATTATCTATTATAATCTAAAAGCAAAATGTTTTTGGGATTGCATTCCCGCCCAAAAACGTCAACATCAAATGAGTCATCTATTAAATTTGTCAAAAAATATATAGCAATATATTTTCAAAATAAAGTTAGCAAGTTGCGTGGTAAGTGCGAAGAGATATTTTGATGGTTTTAATGGTTGAAAAATGAACTGTGAGGTCAAATCATGAACATTCCCTCAACATGCATAAGCAAACGTATTACACACACAATGAATTAAAAAATTACAAAGTGAATGGATATGATTTGTTTGATTTAAAATGTAAATACAGAGGTGTTCGCGGGCCTTCCTCCTGTAAAGGAACAAAACAAAACAGTAACCATATTTAGACATGTGCTCGGGTATGACAACACATTGCACTTCAATGTGTATTATAAATATAAAATCAAAAGAAATCTTCATGGAGGATCCCCAACTGTTACTCTCAACAATGCCCTCAACCATGTTACCTAGCTCTTTCGCACTAAACACATCAGGGTTATAAATAGGCTCCTACGTATGGGGTTTTGCTCTCAGAAATCGTTTGCAACTCCAGTGTTCATATGTAAGTTCTTCTCACTCACAAGAGGATTCATGTTTAATCACACAGAACTTTTTTGTAACCATATGTTCACTCATTTCCTGCATATTAACAAATGTTTGTACTCATTTGTGTTTTGGCAGGGTGCAAAAATACAATACCAGTACAGGAAAAGACGTCCATTGAAGAAAGGCCATTTATACATGATTTGAAATCAAAATTCAAAAAATCCACTTTGATGTTCTTTTGTTGCCCAACAAATGTGTGTGCTTATTGATGTTTATATGTATGTGTATGGAAAGCTGGTGTGTGATATTGATAGAGTGTACTTATTAGGTGTATCGGTGTATATATGTATGCCAACATATACAACTCATCTGTCAAAATTGAGAAATTGTAGTGAGACAATTTATGCATGTGTAACTTTAGAGATATTCAGTTATGGGCAGTTGATTATAATGTCACTATATCAGTGAATTGTATGTGTAATTTCACGATGAGGAGTGTACACATTACCATGGTCTATTACACGTAGTACATATGTGATGTTTAAAGCTTTATACATGCTCTTTGAAAATCATATTCATAGACCTGGAATCAAAAGATAGATGGATAGTATAAATAAGATTTAGCTTAATACATGGCTGCTCCAATACCTGCACCGAAAGCTAACTGATACATGTACTTTCCCTTACAGAAGTGAATGGATTGTTTTATATATTACTTTAAACATGGCACCTTCCTATAGAAAGAAAGAGTGACTAAAGAAGTATGTCTTCACAAAATAAAAACACGAGAATGGGGAGTCAAAGTTATATCGTGCTTGCTTTTTTATTGGGGGTCAGTTTTTCAGTTTTAGAGATTGTATATAGGGGAGCCTAAGTGTGATATATTACTTTCATTTTACTACTAAAATGTATATTTTCTGTATTAAATTATATATCATTGTTCTTACTTCAAATATTTTGTGCTTGAGTATTTATCAACATGAAGCGGTTACATGTTAGAGGGAAATGTCACATTGGTATCACTTTACAAAAATGTGATTATAAAAAATTAGAATCATAAACTTTATTATACTACAGAACATCTGTAATTTCAAAACCTTATTGTACTGTAAAACATTGAAGTTTTAATACAACTGCTGCCATTTCAAGTTTTCAACTTCAAACACAAGTGTAATACTCAAGTTTTAAACTCAAAATAAACTTAGTGTCAGCTGTAGGTTAGCATTGCATATCAACTTTACCCATTTCATTGATTTGATTCTTATGGATTTTATTCGTAACCTACAACTCACGGTAGGTTACTACTGTCGATCAAGTATCAACTTTACCCATTTCATTGATTTGATTCTTATGAATTTTATTCATAACCTACAACTCCAAGCAGGTTAGGAAAGTGTTAACCCTTATAAACGAATGTGGAGTTGAATAATAAATATAATAGTTTCATGAAATGTAAACTTACCGGTTCTGATTTGGGAGTCATTTGTAAGGGTTGGTGATGTGAATGGAAATCCATCATGAGCTTGAAGGGTTTTCTTAGACCGATCTACGCCGCGATAACATGGATCCTCCGACAACCTTCAAGGTCAAGCTTTCTTTCCGGCTATAGCAGGCATTGCCGTGAGAGCTTAAGGAAATATTTTTTTATCGATGCGGGGATCCAGGGCTATTTGTTCCCTTGGGATATCTGTTCTCATGTACAAGCGTGCGAGCGTGCGTGTGCTTGTCGGAGCAGTCTCCAATCGAAGAAGTACCAGTGTCCGTACAAAATAAAAATGTAAAAAGAGATTGTAGTTTGTAGGAGGATTTGTAGGAGGGGAAGGTTATCTCTGTACGGTGAATGTATTGTTAGATGTTGGCGGTGAAAGAGCTCTGGCTAGGAGAGTGAACACCGGAAATCTAAACGGGGTGGCTGCGGATGCATACATTAGAGGATGGCGTATGCAAGGTTATGAAAAATTTTGGGCCACGGTTTTTTTAATTGGGCTGTATTGAGCTTCGAAAGTTTTGTAGAAAATTGGTTAGGCCGGTATTGTGGTTTTTACTTTTTATTAAACTTTAAATAAATTCTAGAGAATTGTATGAAAATGATTTGTATATACACCTTATAAAATTTGTCAAATGGGGACGTGGTGAAGTTTACAAGATTATATGGGGAATGGGGTTGGACTTTTGCAACAAAAAAAACAATGGGGAAGGGGTAGGAACTTTTGAAATAAAAGGAAGAGGTAGAAGGCCCTAATTGAACATTTTTTCACAAATTCATATTCAAAGATAGTTTAAGAATGACATAAAACACTTTAACATATTTGCGACCCCTATATTATCTGTTTAAACAGACAATTCGTTTAAAAAATGTAATTCGTATAAATGCATAGTCAGTTAGTCACTCTATTACTCAGTCATTATAAATAATTTAATTAAAATTAATTACATCCGTGAAATTTCACCAACCGTGCATCGCACGAGCATGTGCCCCCATTGCTTATGCTTTGCATTCTCCCCTCATTACGTGTTTGATGAAAAAGTTGACCTGATAAGCCGAAAAACGGGGTTGTCAAGCGGCCTCTAAACTTGATCAAGTTCATTACTTTTACATAGAGGTGGACTCGGTCCGGGTGGCCCGACCCGGGACCGGACCGGGACCGATACTGTACAGGCCCGGCCCGAACCGGTGGCCCGGCCAGGGACCGGTCCGGGTAGGCCCGGCCAGGGACCGGTCCGGGTAGGCTCGGCCCGGTGGTTTTACGGTGCGGGCTCGGGTCCCCCAAATGATGAACCGCCCCTGCCGGGACTTTTTTTTCATTTTTTTTATTTTTCTGAGTTAGGCTGGGTGTTTTGGGCCATTTGGGGTGGTTTGGAGGGTGGGGGTGTGGGGCGGGATTAGGGGATTAATTAGAAAATTAAAAAAAAAATAGGAAGTGGCCCGAGGCCAGGAGCGGACCCAGGAAAGTCATTTTGGAGGGGCGAAAATATTTTTGGGGGATTCAAAATACTTTTTGGAAGAGCAAAAATTATTTTTCGTATATATATACACTAAAAAAATTTGTTGGGGGAGCGGTAGCCCCCTGAGTCTCTAGTACGGTCCTCACCCGCCCGAGGCCCGGCCGAGTCCACCCATATACTTTTACATTTGGAAGTTAGAACCACTTGACGTTTGCCGTATCTTGTGCAAGTTCAAAATTTCGATATACCTCAAAACTAAAACGTCTGTTCAATAGAGCCAACCACGGAACAAACTCAAGACTCGGGATGCGAAACGACGACAGACGGCATAGCTTTCTTGGATTCTATAATGGTTCAAACCTTCAATTTAGACCTTGCTCAAATAAATCACTTGCATTATGAGAACTTCTTCACCTCTGCCCCGACTTTCTTCCCTGCTCTCCGACTGCAAACTAGGGCGTTTGCCCGCTTTTTCTGCGATCTCTCTGGGTTCTTCAGCATTACACTTTTCCTACCTCCTCAAGATAACGTTTGTTAATATTCACCAATTCCATATTTGCAGCGGTAAGTCAATGTCATTCATTCCTGAATCATCCCCAATTCACCATTGAGACCTCCAGTAAATTTATTTGAATCTAGCCGTCTTGAATTAATAAAAGTAGTAAATGTGTGTGTGGATGGAGCATTACCAAGACGGAATTACCAGTGTACTTATAAATACATTTATTTTGTAAAAAGCTCTAATCTGGGGAACCTCTCCAGGAATGGGTGGTTGGAGTTTAGGTGAAGACCTACCCTTGGTATAGAAGTAAGGACATTTTCACCTGGAAAATTTTTCAGGCCTAATTTGATCTGTGTGTTTAAGTGTTAGTTTAAGTGTGGTCTAGTCTTTTCGGGTAAAAGTATGAAATATATTAAATATCTATTAAACTATGATCGAAGTTTAGTAGAGTATGATTTATTGAGGTCCAGAATGAGTAGAAAAGGTCCAAGTGTGAAATTGTTAATTTATGTTAGTTGATTACTTTTGTGGTTGGTTATGGTGAGTGAAGGAACAGAGTCAAAGTTTCAGTGGCTAAGCAAAACCACATCATTATCAGATGTCAAAATTTACATGGAGGATTGAAAATTTCTCGCGGCTGGGTGGTGGTAAGCATTCCTCTGTGATTTTCGTGGTAAATGATTTCAAATGGTACGCCCCCAGTCAGATATGTGAAAATGTTAATTCTCTTTTGCAGCAAATTACGTGTAAAGATCTGTTTTTTTTTTTGTATCTGCAGGAAATTACGTTTTTGTCCACAAGGAAACTCAAAAAACAAGTTGAATCTGTACCTCTTGCTGGTGGACTCCTCCAGCTTACCCAAGTACTGTGGTATAGAAACAAAGTACAAACTAGCTCTTATTAACCAGATTGACAACAACAAAACCATCAAGAAAGGTATTTCAGCATGACTCACATCAACCTGAAAGTATCAATATCAGTTTTATTTGTTTGCTTTACTTATATCACTATCATCCTATGGTTCTGCATTCGGAGATGTTTCTTATTCGCAAGGTGTTGAGTTGGTGTGTAAGGATTTTCAGCATGTCACCTTCCCATACAACATCGTAAGATTGTCAAAACATTATAAGGCGCATGACTTTTTTGTATATATAGGAGTATTAAGAAGTAGGTGTCCATAGATGATGTCAACCAAATAGCTACTGTCAGAATTTTACTTCCTCAATCTTACTATTGCCCGTTCTGCAGAGAGCTATTGGGAACACATATTCACTCGACGTAATTATTTTGCCTGTTCTTCATTTATCCCTCTCAAAATGTTTTACAATAAAAGCGAAGGTTATCTGGTTGATGACACGTGCTTGTTTGAAGCTGAACTTTCTGTTGTCACCAATGATTTTGCAGTTTCCCACGATAATGTAAGTTCATATCATCATATGTGCTTGTTTGAAGCTGAAAAGTATATTACGGAGTAATAATATTTTCCCAATTTGGTTTCCTATTTCTAAATGATTTTCGCCTTTTCCCTTCTATAAGTGTGATCAGGCTTTAGATGTTGGCCATCATGTTGAATCTGCACATGTCGAGGCTCAGTTGTTTCTCGAGTCTCTGACCAAGAAACCATCCAGCAGCTTCTGGGCATCTAATTCTCCAACACGCGAATTGTCCCTGCTCAAAGGACATGACACTTCTGCAACAGTAATCCTTGACATGCTGATATCAACCCCTTTTGATATTTTGGTTGATCCCAGGAATGAAACTGCAATCTTGGAGTCTTTATCTGCAGTCATTAACCAGAACCTTCATTTGTTCAGCGATGGAGAAGCCAAAGAAATTATGAACTTGAAAACTACTTTCCCTCAGCTGATGCAAGAATGTAGAAGCTCAGTAGAAATTAAGCGCAGAAGCGAGCATCCCAGCTGGTCTACGTTAGAGAAGACCAGAAGTTTGCTGGAAGATTTCGTGAAAACAGGGGAGGGAATAAGTGCTGAAGTGGAGGAGCTTATTAACAAAGAAAAGGAATTGGAAGCTCAGCTGAAGGTTATTAAAAGTAATAGTTTACATGTAAAGGAGGAAAGAGTAGAAGTATCCAAACAGATGGAGTTCCATTGCTCACTTGCTATGAAGCAGGCTGCTGAAATTGAAGCCAAAGATGCGGAGGTGGACCAGGCTAACAAAAAGCTGGAGCACAGTTTGAAGTCAAAATGGGCTGCAACAAGACATCTTTTTTCTTGAGTGACATAGTGACATAAGTCAAGGGATTTTTTTGGATATCCTTTTGTTAGAGTGCTTTTGTTGAAATCAGTTTTTCCTAAAAGGCAGTATGGGACTAAGTACATAGTGACATCAGTACTTCTTTTAAAACTGGATTACTTTGATTGAGGAACAAAGAAGTGGTGAACACTGGACACCATAGGGAAAGAAGAAGAAAATATTGGTTGTTCGAGCAAAGTTGGTGTTCACTTAAATCTTGGAATGATAATTTTTTGTTCTCAAATTTTCACGGTGATCAATTAAATCTTGGAATAATAAATTTTATGTAGATGTATGAATACATCTAGTTTTCACTAATAACTTTGAGTGTCCAGTTCAATTTATATTGATGTATCCCATAGCTACTTTATTAAATGATATGAAACCTAAATAGAACTGTAATATTGTATATCATGAACTCACCTTTTGAATACTCCCTCTAAATAAAATCTTACTTTCCATTTCGGTCCATCTCTTAAAAATGTTCTCTTTCCTTATCTGATAAACAAAACAGTTCTAAAAAGTATCAAATCAAACAATGTCATTTTCTTAAATTGTGTGTAATTCAAAGAAGAACTTTAAAATAGGGACGGAGAGAATATCTTTTAAACTAAGTGCTTTAATGTATATCAAATATTGAATTAGTGGTAATGTATTGTACTACCTTTGCTCGCTTAAAAGTTTTCATTTTAAAATGGCACGGTTAATTAGATAATTAAATAAGATAATTCATTTTATTATGACACTGATATGACACGGTTAAAATGACACTGTAGCTTTGCCTGCCACATCGGCTTTTTCTAGCTAATTCATTTTTTGACAATGATATTTGTCCAATGGTTAGCCACAATGTTTGCCTCTTGAAAAGGCTCCACAAATCAATCAAATTTGAAAATATACATTTTCAAGGAATTGATTTATTAATATAATAAAAATAATACTTATTTTGAAATATTTTCAAATTGGGAAAACGTAAATGATATTTTTAAACTCACAAATTATCAATGTTATTTCTTTCAAAAAAAGTGTTATTATTATTAAAACGAGCATAATTTGAAAATGTTTTAAAATTAGTACAAAAATATGTATTTTGTTAAGTTAAAAAAATAAGGAATAAGACATTTTTACCAACACATACATATTGAAAAATATCAACTTTAAACATTGCACGAGAAAATTAATCATTTTTTAAATCGCATTAGTATATTTAAGAAATTTTTTAAATCATTTGTCAAAACATTATAAGGTGCATGAAATAAAATAATTTTTTTAATATACATTAAATAAAATAAATATACTAAATTAAAAAAATATCACTTCAAATTTGGTAATTACCATTTTAATTCAAATTTCTTCCCTTTCCAGCAACTAACTTGATTTGGCTAATTTGCTTGCTCAAGCTAAAAGAAAAGATGCACTCCAATGGTAGGCTAGTAACTTCAAAATTGCAAGCAAGACCCTAGAAGCAACCATCAGAGATGCTCTGATAAGTCTATAATATAATGGAGTCACTGATGATAACTGTGATGTTTTAGATGTATTATTTTTAATATTTGATAATTAGGAAAAGGGTCAAATAGGCCCTCGAACTAACTTAAAAAGTGCAAATCACCCCTTATATATGAGGCTCTGTCCGGCCGTTGCCATTTGGGGAGATTTCCAGTGAATTTTTTTATGAAATTTTTTTCGCATCTTCTTCATTAAGTCTAGTTTAGTCATACCAAATTTAAGCTAAAAATTCAATCGGGAAGGCAGTCAAATGAATTCTTGAAGATAACTACGCAGTTAAACAACGCATTACATTTAAGAAAATCATTTGACTGTCTTCCCGGTTGAATTTGTATCTGAAATTTGGTATGCGTAATCTAGAATTAATGAAGAAATTGCTCAAAAAATTTCATCAAAAAATACTACCGGAAATCACTTCAAATGGCGACGACCGGACAGAGCCTCATATATGAGGGATGATTTGCACTTTTTAAGTTAGTTTGATGACCTATTTTACCATTTTGCCTTCATAATTAAATAATCATTTAACAATGTTAGTTGTTTTCTAAAATAGAAATGAGAATATTTACATAAAATAGTCATGAGACCTTAAAATGGGACAGATGGAGTACTATTTATAGGAACATTGCTATTATATTGATGTGTTATGTCTGTGATATTTGTGATATGTGATAATAAACATTTCGTTCCATATTTGTTATACAAAAATATGCAACAAAAGTACTCAAGGAAGTTTTAGAGCAAACATGACGACATCTAGACCTAGTCTTAAATTTGGAAAGTTAAGACCACTTGGAGTGGTGTAGAATTAGGAGTCTAAAATGTTAAAAGTTGAATTTGTGAACTCCTAAATTCTTGTTGTGGTTGGCTAAATGGGGGAGTAAAAATGGAGAAGAGGATGGAGGAGGTATATTTGAATGGTGTCAACTGTCAAGGAGTAGGCTTGGACTCGGTTCGGGCCACCCAGCCCAGGAACCGGCCCGGCCCGGTTCTTTGGGCCCAAAACCGGTCTAAGGCCCAATTATTTATCTAAAGCGGGGCGGGCTTGGGTGGGTAAAAATGAGGCCCGACCCGGTTCGGGCTAAATTGATTTTTTTTTTTTTTTTTCATTTTTTTGGGCTCCACCCGGGTTGGGCTTGATGTTTAGGAGGGGTTTGGAGGGTTTTGGGGGTGGCGGAATGGGGGGGTCAGGGATAGGTAGGTAAGCAAAAAAAATAACCAAAACTGAGGCCCGGTCCGGCCCGGACCCGATGGCTACCCGGGCCGGTCTCAGGCCCACCTATTCACAACGGCCGGCCCACCCGGGCCTAGGCCTGACCCGGACCCGGCCCGGCCCGAGTCCACCTCTATCAAGGAGGGGCTAAAAGAAAAAAGGAAATGGAGCGGGGGAGGGAAAGAGCCAAATGGGATGGTGGCCAAGTGATGCGCATGAAATGTTTGCCAAGGTGGTGTCATGCTTACGTCGTATACAACACTCCATTTAAAAAATGGTAGATCCAACGGTTATGATGATTTGGACCCTGTTTGAACGGGGAAATGGATCCAACGGCTGAAATTGAAATCCAACGTTTACAATAATTTATTTTATTTTTTCATTATTTTTAATTAATATTTTCTCCGAGAAAAACTTTAAAAAAAATATTAATGAAATTTTATTTATTTTACATCGAAATATGTCTTTTTTATTTTATAATTAATCAGAGAAAAAAATAAAAGAAAAACATTACTTATAATAATTTAATTATTGTTTTACTAAATTGATATGTAAAAAAATGTGCAGAGTGTATTTTATTGATGATGCTGGAATGCGGAGAAATATGACTTAAAATACTGTTTTCATATGGACGGAGTCACGGAGTCCATTTTTAACATTTAGACTCTCACACCATTCCAAATGGGCTAAGAGACTACTGATTCAATTAATTATATTTCTTAATAATATTATACTCTGCTTCATTCTAAATATTAGTTCCACAAAATAAAAAACCATTTTGCTCGAAAAAAGGAAAACAATTTGAATCAAATCCATTTCCTTACAATGGCTTTTAGTAAAAACTATCAAATAGAAAAAACTTGTTCTTAAAAGGGAACTCTTTTTGAAATAACTGATTTCTTCTACTGTTGAATAAATAGAGAATAGGTCAAAGATGTTATTATTATAGATTGAGATTAAGTTGTAATCAATTATTGTAATCTTATCCCTTTTATATAGGATCAGTATCCCTCTTTTATAGGATCTTCATTTGAAAGGTCATTTTATAGGATTAGTTGTTGTATTGTACTGTATTACAAATAGAAATAGACCTATCAATGAAGGTGATCATTATCTCAACTAAATCTTATTAATCAAATCCATTTCCTTACAATGACTTTTATTAGTAAAAAAAATCAAATAGAAAAAATTTGTTCTTAAAAGGAAACTCTTTTTGAAATAATTGATTTCTTCTATCGTTGAATAACTAGAGAATAGGTCAAAGATGTTATAATTATAGATAAAGATTAAGTTCTAATCAATTGTCGTAATCTTATCCCTTTTTTATATGAGAGAATTCCCCAAATAAGAGTAAGTCATAAGCAAAATGCAAAAAAAAGAGTATCATGTTTTGAATAGGAGTAACTTTAGTGTTTGGACAAGTATACCCAAGCCCCAAGCCCCAACAACTTTCATTAATAATTAAAACATAAAAGAAATACTCCGTAAGATTAATTAATTTATAAAAAAAATGTAAAAAAACAAAAAAAAAACACAAAGAATTATAAAATAATAAAATATACTCCATATTAAATCAAATAAAAAATTATTAAAATAAAAAAGACGAAAAATAAAAACTAAAAAAACTTAAAAAAAAAAATATGTAGGCGTCTGATGCCGCCTCAACAACCTCCTAGCATCATCAGCTCCGATCACCGAAACAATGCCAACATTTTCCCAAAATGCCATCAAGATGGCAGATTTTGAGAAAATTTGGCATTTGCAAAGAGTAAAATTGTCATCCTTATGGCATTTTCAAAGAAAAATGGCAGTTTTTACATAAAATGGCATTTTTTCGCCGATTGGAGGTGAAATTTCTCGGTGATGACCGAGGCTGCGGGAAAGGCCTGCATAATTTTTTATATATTTTTAATACAGTTTATCTATTTTTTATTTATTTTTAAAGTTTTTTATTTTTACAAAAATAACTTTTTTAATTTTTACTATTTTAAAATTTTTGGAATGAACTTAGATTATTTTTAAATTTAAATGGCCTGCATAAAGGTATCGTTTCCGGTGAATGAACTTAGATTTTTTTAATAGGATCAAATAAGTCATATCTTAGAATTAACTAGGTTAGGGATATTAAGGGTACAAAATTAATGTTTACTCCTATTGAAGGAAGTTTTAAGTTTTACTCCTATTTTTGCAATTATTATGTTTATGTGTACACCTATATTGGGCAATTTCTCTTTTTATATAGGTGTTTTATACTACCTCCGTCCCATAAAATTTTTCACACTTTGACTTGGCACGGAGATTAAGAAAGTGGAAATGTATGGTTGTGGTTGTGTAAGAAAAATGTGAAATGAATGTGAACCACACAAATTGTTCAAAAATAGTAAGTGAGAAGAATTTTTTGGGATGACCCAAAAAGGAAAGTGCGAAGAATTTTATGAGACGGATGGAGTAGCATCCTTTTTCGAAAGGTCCT